ACAGAACTAGCTTTAACCTTGAAAACACGTCATCTACAAGATTGCACCCTGTGATGATAAGCTTTTGGAGCTGTTTGTTCTTTGAGATGTAATATTTCTGATTTACATTATCATTTTCAGATAAAAGTGTAGTAGTAATAAAGTTTGAATACAATATGCTTTAGTTAAAAAAAAATCACTATTTTTGTAATGCGCTTCATTACGACCCATTGCCCTGCTATAGGGTAAAACTAGTCCTAAAGCCAAAGTTTCAGCCTCTGAGGCATTGAAGTGAGGCCTGAACCTTGTGCTGGTTTTCTGCACTGGCTTTATTAAACCCCAGAAGATCTCATTCTGCTAGAAAGGCCACAAGTTGGCTGTCCTGAAGGGACAGAGGAATCCCACCCATTTGATGCAGCTCTGGGGCGTCATCAAAGTAATTCCCTGCTTTTGCTCTGATGCAGCGTACGTGGCAGCGGACCTGCCAGCCCTACTTCACATGCAAGGGTGCTCCCATGTGTACGTTAGACTCTGCAGGCACAATAAGAAGGACAGCTCTGCAGCTGTTAGAAAAAAGAGAAGTGGAGAAATCTCTGTCCTACTGCTGTAGCAGTTAACACACGCTTTCCATTGTAACAGGTCGCTGCGGAGCGTAAATACGTAAGGCAGTGGTTGGGGGGACAGGGCGAAGGTTAGGGGCCATGCCGTACAATGCTTTTGTCCTCAGCACTGGAGCCAGCAACAGGTGAAAGGACGGAAATTATGGTGTAGCATTAGCATTTGATAATAAATGCTCTGTTTGTCAACTGTGGGTTTCAAAGCACTTAACAAAGAGAACAGTATCATTACCTTTATTTCACTGATGGGATAAACACCTAGTCAGGAAAAGTTACTTGCTGAAGGTCACGCAGGAGGGTAAGAGCAGAGCAATGGCAAAACCCCTGGCATTTCTGAAACACCATCCTTTCTGACCATGCCTGGGCTCCCAGGCATCCAAAAGACGGATAGCCGGTGGCAGTTAATAGCTGCTACGGTTACTTGGCTGCAGCAGAGTGCAAACTGCCATGGGAAGTTGCTTGTTGCGTGTGCACCCCTCTTCTACCACCCAGCAAATTCTCTGTCCCCAGCCACGGAAAATAGTGGAGAAGATGATGCAGGTGTGGTGATGGGAAGAGACTTCTGAAAGATGTAAAAATATATTTTTTATATATATAAATATGTAATATATGTGTGTGTATGTATCTAAATACAAGTGTGTGTGTGTGTGTGTGTGTGTGTACTCATCTGCTAAAATGAGTTTCCCCTCTAAGCCTGAGACAGAATCTGTTTGTCATGTCCATAAATGTCATGTTTTCACCTAGGAACTGACCTTTACCAGGTTGCTGGAATAGTCGGGTTAGAAGAAATAATCTGCAGGAGCTGCTTCATAAAATAAGCTCCTTTCTTACAGGGGAGGAAATTACTTTCCTCAGTATATTCTGCGGGTATAAACTTCAATACAAAAATATTGTCTGCACATTACTTAGGCACACCTGACACATATAGCAGGACTTCTCACATGAGTAAAGCTCTGCTTGTTTAATCACAATAGTACTCACAGGGAGCCATAATTGTTATGCTGTTGATTATAACCCATGTCAAAAGAATAATTTGAACAAATACAAAGTTCTTTTAGGAAATTAAGATTTCTTATTTATTTGGGGGGAAAAACCAACAAAACTAAATTATTTTACTACTTACTGGCAAAGTCATTCTTGCTACATTACTTAGTTTAAAACTCACATTTCATTCAATTAAGTTTTCATACCATTGACAAAACAATGCTGTCCTGAAAAAAATATTGCAATAGCTGCTATATAAAAGCCCATAAATAAACTGCAAGATTTTCAGACTTCAAAAGACTGAGGACAGGAAGAGATTGTTTAAAGATTCATTTGAGCATTTCTTATTCAGTACATTTGCTGCATTCAGTAACAACAAAAATACATTGAATCAAACAAAAAGAATGGACTTAGATGGCAATGGAACACATTTGTACTTTGTGATTTTTAACTAGTTTACCAAAAACAGAAGAAACCCCATCCCCAACCTCGTATTATAAATACGGTGTTCTAGCTCCTAACCTCCTTTGACATAAACAACAAGATAAACTGCTTCGTCACAAGTAACGTTCAAAAGTTAAAGCATGGGATGCAGGTTATCCACGGTGGATCTCAGTAGATACAGGATAATAAATGCTCCCTCAATATGTAATACATCTATGTCACATTCTAAAGTATAAAACCAAAAACGTTTTCATGCTCTTACTATTTTCGGTGAACAATTTTAAAATATGGTATACCTGGATGAAAAACAGATTTAGCCCTTTATACTACTGTCATTTGGTACTGTCATTTGTATGTCGCATGGTTTTTTCAAATGGACCCTGGGTAGTGACATAGGTGACCAATATACATCAGCACAGGAGGAAATGCAGGCAATGAAAATTGTGCAGAGGGGACTGTTCTTAAAAATTAACATTTTTTTTTAAAAAAAAGCTTTTATATGTCCTCTGGTTCATTCACAGAACTGTTTGTGCTATAATACAATGTTAGAAGAGAAACAATCAAGGAGGGTTTCAATCTATATCCATGGTCACAGTGTAAAAAAAAAAAAAAATACACAACAAAAAACCACATGCTCCAGTATAAAAAATATGCTTAAATATGTTGTCTGCACACAATACAAACACTGAACTCTGCTATCACAGTACTGTTCTGTTACAATCATCTCCTCCATACATTCCAAGGGCTCCTTCTACTGTGTCTTTGGGGGGGGGGGGGGGGGGGGGGGGGGGGGAATCATTCTCAGGCCAAGAAAAGCCCATATATTTGCACAGCTGTACGACAGTCCAATGTAGAAAAGGCTAGGAAAAAGCCATACACAAAAGCCACAATAAAGACATAGCCATTTAGATAGTTCGCTTTTACTGACCCGCCTTTTAGCTGTCAACAACTTGAGTCATTTAGCAATAGGAAACACAAAATTAGAAGCCTATATGTATGTCACGCGTGTGTATGTGTGATACGCAGTATGTCACATTCTGCTGTGTTCCAGCTGCATAAATCCAGCCTACATCTGGTGAAACTAAGATAGTTTCTGTAGAATGTTTTAATTCATAGCCACAGACAAACCTGGTGGACTGTGGGGTTTCAGTTTGGTGACCGTACCAACAAGTCTTGGCCAGGAAAGGGGAGAAGGCGCAGGAGGTGGAAAAGATTGGTCCAAACTGAAACAGGTAATTTTTTCTTAGTGCAGGAAGGAAACATGGAGAAAACTTGTTTTGGATCAATCAAAAATGAAGTGCATTGATATTTTGTAAACTTTCAACGCCATTTCTTTCGGATGAAACACTTCATTAAATTCAGTCCTAATTGATGAATGTCTCCTGTTCCCTAAAGATCAATTTACTTTCATTTTCTTTTTCACAAATTTACTATCAATAAGCAATTGCCACCCTGCACATTAGGGTGCAAATACCTTTTCTCTTGGAAATCAATAGCAGATATCTTGCTAGATTCACTGGTACCAGAAATGGTCTGAGCTGCTGAAGATGCAACCCTTTAATTAAGGAAAAAAAAACCCAAAATCACAAAACCTCTTAGCAAAAAATGAGGTTGAAGATTTGCGTATTTCCCTCCTTTTGTGGTATTTTGCTAGCCCAGTGTATTCAGAAAGCTAATTACCTTGGTAATTCCTGCAAACCCATATACCTGGTGTGAGCACCTCTGGGGCTTATAGTCTGCTTCACCCACAGCTGGAAAGGTGCATCATCGGCACAGCCGAGATTGCACCCCCTTGTGCTCCAAACACCACCTCTGAGAACCTACAAAACACTGGTCAAAAGAAAAATTACAGTGTTTTTTTCCTCCTTAAAGATACTTCATAGCAGTACTAAAGCAGAAGCTATTAAGAGCTGAGCAGAGTTTAAAACCACAAAAGACTCTGCAAGAGACCTGTTTAAAAGATGTCTGTAGGTAACAATACAGAGACTTATTTGTAGTCTGGCTGTCTTCACAGTATATCATCGTGTTACATTTTTGTGGTTGGAATTCAGTGTCTCGATTTGACCAGTAAAAGGAGAAAGGTAAGTCACAGTGCCAGGTTTTGATTTCCAAAAGCTACAGCGCATTTGCGAAATGCACTTGATGGACAGTTGTTGATTGCATCCAAAACCTTCAGGCAAAGCAACACAAATACTTTGTATTGCGATATGTCAGCAGACACAAATCAGCGATAGAAATGCTATAGGACAACCTTAGCCATTTCTGCCTTTTATAGATGCGATGTAAACAGGAATATCTAAAATACTAATAGGCCACGTATGGAAGTATTACATGTTACATATGCTGTTTATGAGCATAGAGACATATGTGTATATTAGCTTTGCTAATTCCACGCCAATGCTGGGAGCTGAGCAGCTGGAACCTGCTTCTCCCTCAAGCCCTGGCTTCCTTGTAGCATTTAAATTAATCACCACACTATGTATTTTGAATAAGCTTCCCTTTGATAATTGGATTCTGTAAGGTAATAAATGTAAACAGAGCGTGCACAGCAAGACCAGAATAGCCCCATTACAACATCACAATGGGAAGCATTTCATTTTAGAGCATAAAAAGCCATCTTTCCAGAGGTATGCTGCCTTTCCTCAGTTCTGGGAGCTGGAATGATTCGGATAGCAATACGCCCTTTTGGCGTACCTAGTGTTTTCATCGTTGCTGATAAAACCATCCAGTGTATATTTGTGCTAGTTATTTTTACAGATATTGCTAATAGCCAAGTGGTAGAATGTGTTACAGTTTCGAAGGCAAGCAGATGAGGGCTATTTACTCAACAAAACAATATGGCAATTCCCAATTTATTAGGCAGTGATTAAAAAAGCAGTTTCCTACTGGTATTAACGGTGAGAAAAAAACTGGTGGACACTGTGTCAGAGGTCCTGAATGTATGGCTTGGTTTTCACTGAGAAGCTGGTATTACTGTCAGACTGCTGATAAGTCAATGCGGTTGGCTGAATTGGTGCTTTTATCCCAGGTGTTCAGCTTGGTGGGGGTCGTGCCTGGCCTGTTCCCAGTCATCTGGAAAACAAAATAATATTGAAAACAGATTTATTTATTTTGCTAAACCACTCTTGTCTGGATGAAATAAAAGCGTGAAAGCATCTATTTACATTACAGCGTTGTCACAGTGTCTTGAGAGCATATGCTATAAAGGATTTTTAAACAGTTATTGCCAGGATCTAAGGTGATTGGCAGCAATCGCTTAATAATACCTATCGCTTCAGAAGTCTGGTTCTTTATAAAAATGAATGTCTTTTGCCTCAAGACAATTTAAGGAGAGCTAGAAAAGCATATTCATGTGTTGATTTATTTAAGATTTTACTCCTCAGGCTTAAACGTAAAAGTGCCCTATCAAAAAGCCATCATCATCAGACAAATACATTGCCAAAATGCTGCCTGAATGCGTAATATGAAGTCTGTTACAATCGGTGGGAATAGTCTCATTGAACCATACTCCAGAGTTCATAAACCTTCGTTTACTTTTGTTTGATAGTTTACCAGAAAGTAGAATTTTGTCCTTTGCTTTCAAAACAGATATTGTAGCTGCAAGTTAATACTTGCTGATTCCACCTATGCATTAGGTTAGGTACTAAAAATACCCACGTGCCTCTTGTGTCCTGTTCTTTCTAACAGAGTTTAAGGTGGAACACTTCCAAGTACAATAGGGAAAAAAAAAGAAAGGAGGAATACTCACAATGTCTGAATTGAAGGGTTTCACATTGATGTTGCGAGTTGAACTACTGGTAAGGGACCAGACCTTGGTTTTGTGCTTAAAGGCAGCTCTAACCTTTGGGGAAAAAAATGAAACCAGACAGAAGATTTCTTTTTCAAAAGTTGTGTTTATTTTCACAGGTGCAGCCTACAATCATTTCCCCATTATCCTTCCTCCACATTAACGTCACTGTACTAAAAAACAACAAACAATCCACCCCCACATTTTTTCTTTATATTTACGGTCCTATTTTAAAATTTAACTTTACTTTTCAAGTACCCAAACTTTAAATACAAAGCATTCTATAACCTCACTTATGTCTCACTTCATTGGCAACTTTTTCATGTTATCTAGGTAATCCTATCCTCCTAGATGTCCAAGGTATGACTGTATTACCATTCATCTTGTTAAAAATAAAAAATAATAAAAGCAAAAACACAAAACTGCAGGGCATATAAGCATAGATCCCCAGTATTTGCAGTCCTGGTTTGAAAGATTTCATAAGGTGCCTGGTAATGAATTTCAGCAGCTCACTAGGACACTTTCACATTTTCTAACTAAATATACAGCCCCAGGCTGGACCACAAGCTCCCCCGTTCGGGCAGGCTCTCCCCGGAGCTGACGCAGCCCTGATGGTACCCAGATGCCACGAGGACGTAAGCCAGCTGCCAGCCTTTTGAAAACTGAAATTATTTAAAGACGCGGGATGAAATTCTCTATAGATGTAGGAAGATTCTGCACCAAGGCGAAAATTATCAGCTGCATAAAGAAAAGACGGTGAGACAGTAATTCTTTAGGCAAGTAGGTGAGATTTATCAAGGATTACTGGCTGGAAGTGATTGACCAGTGTTACGATGTTGTGATAAAGAACATCTTGTCAGGAAGAGCATAGTCTGCAAAACACACAAAGCAATCTTTCCTCCCTATTCTGCACTGGCATGGCCTCAGCTACAGCACTGTGTCCAGCGTCCCAGGAAGAACAGGGACCAGCTGGAGACAGCACTGAAGAGAGCAGTGAGGATGATCACACGTTACGAGAAGCTCAGGTTGTTTAATCAAAAAAGGAGCCTGGGGGAAGGCAGGGTAAGTCTTACGGTCTTCCCTTTCCTGCGGAGAGGAAGGGAATTATCTACTCTTTACACGAGTAGTAGCTAAAATAGGAAATAAGAAGCTCAAACTGCAGTAAGAGAGATGAAAACTACAATTTAGGAGTGGCAGTAGTAAGGCTAATGAGGCACAGAGCCAAATTGCTGAGGGAGGCTGAGGGGCTTCGATGGCTGAGCTGTCGGGGTGACACTGGCACGTTGGATGTGTGCTGCGGGAGAGGCTGCTCAGGTCCCCATCAAACCCATTCTCCTGTGCTTCTTTATAATGTGTGTGCATTTCTTGTCCAGGCGCACTGGGAATAAAGCTCTCTTTTTTACCCAACCACTTGGAAATATCTGCAGATTTCGCTTTACAGTATCTGAGTTTTACTTTTATGGTAAGTACGAAATTCTCAAGAAGAATTCTCGCAGTTTAGCTCAAGAAGTATTTTAGATATGCACAGCATACGATGGAGCCAATAAGACCTGCTCTCCAAAAATGACAGTTCGCATTAGCTATATATGAACTGGTTTTGGAGGATACAAATTCTGAAAAGTTTCTGAATTTAATTTCTCATGAGGTTCCTGAAAAAATGGCAGCAATTCAAATATTTGTATTTGATGTAAGGCATTTGAAGCTTGACAGCAGGAAGAAAGCTTTCTGAGCCTGGGGGAGAATAGAGTAAAGAAATATTTTTTCCTCCTTACCTTTAACCTGCCTGCTTAACTTTAGTTGATTTCAATAAAGATCAAGAATTTCATAGTCAGTCCTGACTCTCCAAACTGATTGTAGCAAAGATCGTATCAATGCTCTAAGACTGAATAGGTTGGCAAATATCAATAAATAATAACGTCTCCACCGAACAGCTGGAGTGCTGTTGTTGCACAGGCAGAAGCAGCAGGCCATGGGGCAGAGCTCCTTAGCAGCATCCAGAAGAGCGAGCTATGGGAGAATCAAAGCTATGGGGGTATTCACTGAGCAGTACCCCCCATCAGCGTGCTGGAAATGGTTTTCATAAGAAACTTTTGTTATCAGTAATACACGCTGCTGAACATTTTCTGCTGTCTGCCGTGGTAAGATGGCATGTCTGCAAGCTCCAGGCCCAGCAGAGATGGTCTCCACAAGCCCCATTTACATCAGCCTTGCCTTGGCTTTACCCCAGTTGCTCTGAGACAGCCTTAATGCAAGAAGATGCCTCTTGGTCCACTACCAAAACCTGAACTTCCTGCCAAGGAAAATACCTGCAATATGTTCTACTCTGTTTGGTTTCCCATTAAGGATTGCATGAGCAACTTCCAAAAGTATGTTTTGCTGAGAATAATATTTATTTTCCTCTCTGGAACTGCAGATGTAACAAAGCCCGAGGCCCCCCAACATGGACTGCCAGAGTGAGCCCCGAGGCCCCCCAACGGGGACTGCCAGAGTGAGTCCCGCTCCCACTATTTAAGCATCCTCCCTTAGGAGCACAGCCCATGCCCTGCTCAGCCCCTCCAGCCCTCAGGAGTGCTTCTTCCCTTAGTCTTGAGCTGCCTTCTCTTACCTTTTGTTTTTTTAAACCTTTCTTACGTTAAATAAAAGAAATGTCAAGCATGGGTCAAAACTCCACGAGTCACAAAGTCACTAACAGTCATGTATTAATTGAAAGAAAAAAGAAATCAGTGGCATAGCAGGCAGCGATAATGGAAAATGTATTTTCTTGTTTTATACTCACGTTACTTGAATTTGGCAACACCAAATTTGTTAACACCATTTGGTTACATACCTCTGAATTCAGAAGACAGTGAAACAGGAACATGAAAAATCCCTGAAAACAGATAAAAGGGAGAAGGGTGAAGACTGACTGTGAAGGATGAAATACAATAATGTATTTCTGAGAGTATTGTATAAAGCAGGTTTTGAGTAGCTGGAGATCTATAAATATCGAAGAGCAGGCCAAATTGTGTCCCATGTTAAACCGGAGAACCCTGCAGCATTAGGCTACTACGAGGCTTGTCTGGACCTTTTCCTGTAAAACAGCACCTCCTAAACCTTGGGGTGCTAACGGAGAAATCTGGCTGAAAAGAAGGAGGAATTCTGTTTTCATGAGAACAAGAGAACTTTTTGTCTGTGCTTGCACAGACAAAGGCAGAGGGAAATGCTCTTTGGGAAACACCAGATCAATATTTTCACATTAAAAAACCGAGGTATTAGCATCAGGAAAATTCTCACAGAAGAAGTTTGCTATCTTTGGGCTTTTTGTCCAATGGAAAGTGAAAAAGTCCCATCTCCTTTCCCTCCCAAAATAACTTTATTTTCTTTTGGGGAGTATTCAGCCAAACATGTTTTTTATTTTGGATGAAAATTGGAACTTTTCTTATCAGCTTATGGGGAGAATTCTGTTGAGCTCTTTTTGCGACCATAATGGTATTTGATCCTGAGACAAAAAAGGATTTACAGGAGTTCATTTTTCCTTCCCCTCTGTAACCATTATTCAGGTAAGAATTATAACACACCTATAGATTTATGCCTCTACTGAAATGTCTGCTTAAAGCTAAGCAGATGCTTACATTCCTTCCTGGACAGAGCTATTTTTCTAGATTGGTGTATTAAGAAGATGAGGGTCTAGCTGCCTGCACGCAAGCCACGTGCAGCATGCAGAATAGCTCCACTTTTCTCCTTATGCCGCACATGTCCCGCAAACTTCTGTTCGCTTTCATTTAGTCTCCGTAACGAAGCCTCAAACTGACACTGAAAAATTGTTCTGGTATGTCTGTTGAAGAATCTTGCCTGTGGTACACGGTGCCGGAAGAATGAATTTCATTTCTCAAGCTCACTGTCTCATTTATTTAATTATTGCTACTGGAAACACTAAGGAGTAGGATAAAAGTTCTGTTCATACAGACTGAACAATTGCCAGCACTGTATGGTCAGCACAGACTAAAAAGACAGAGGAAGGAACATAGAAAAAATCCAGTAAACACAAGCATGTGAAAACATTACTAATGATCCATTTATTGGATCTCAGCAGCAGTTCGGTAGTCATAAACTTTCCCACTGGGTACTTACTTGTAGTGAATTGAAAATGGCAAATATATACTGAAATACTAATGCATGGGCATTGACAGCCAAAATCCCAAAGATCCACGAGCTCCCCAAGATTGGTAAGAGAACAGCAACGGCTTTAGCTGTTAGTCTGAAAGAAAACGAAAATAGGAAATGTGATGAGACAGTTCAACAAATTCCAGCCCACACACCAGGGAGTTTATCAATTATGTTCTGGCAGCGAGGCAGGCTGTGCATGACTCTCTTCACCATAGAATTCTTTTAATGGGCAAGTCTCTTAATTACTCATTCCTCAACTATGAAAATGGGGATACCAGAACTTTGGTATGACATGGGATAAATACAGATTGAGAGTCAGTAACTGAGGGTGTAGGGGAAGAGATGGAGAGATGGTCCTATAACTACGGCAGCCATACCTTCAGTTTACAGTGAAGTATCATCATTTTGTCAGTGAGGAGTCAAGTGTGAGTCAAAATCAGAGGGCAGAAACTGAGAACAAAGGCAGCATCACATGGAAAAACTAAAACTACTGCATAGTAAATTCAAAATACATTTGCTCAGCACTATAGTTAAGTCAAAACAACACAATATTTCTCTTATAGAAAGTGACTCGGGATTTTTAATCACCACAAATGGGAAGAAACATGATGCACCTCTGCAAAATACAAATCCTTTAACACCACGGTATTATTCTGCTACCACCCTGCTTTGTTCGGAGTTGATTCAGAGAAACGTATGCCAAATATTGAAATAGCTTTGTTTCTTGGAGGTCCCTACTGACATATGGTCACTCTGCTTAGCTTGGAGGACTTGGCTGAAATGCTAATAGCACTGAGAAAATAAGAGGGATTTTTGGTTTTGCCTTAATGAGCTATGTACAGTACGTTTGTTATAGCAGTAGATGAAAAGAAATTGTGGTATACCAGAGAACTAAATGATCACAGAAAGTTTTCTGCAGCAGCTGAATTCTGTGGACCAAATTTTATATAAAGAGTAAACAAAGGGAACCACAAAGAAAACAAAGGCATTGCATTTAGAACTGTAAGATCGCAGTCATGTCTCTTCAGTGTATTCACAGCTTTCTACATTAAAGACCAAAGAACTATGCACTTCCTACAAGGAGCTCATTTCCTTCATCTGCAACAGGAATTAAGGGCGGCCACACCTCACTCAGGACCTGTAGAAGAGGTACCGGCAATTCTTGCATCTGTGTTCTGCTTTGACGTAAACATTGCTAATATCTCTCTCTGCAACTGCATACCACTCAGCCACTTCCAAGAAAGAGGCACAGCTGACGAAATTTAACTCACAAAGATTATTGCTTATCCCACACAATTGTCTTCTCCTTATGAAGCCCTCAGAGCATCATCTCTGATTCATGCTAATGAATTGCTCTAAAGAATTGTACTTTTGTGTCTGCATATACCCTGTAATATTGACTTCAAGAGTGTCGTAGTAATAGCCCTACAGAGTGTTTCTAGTGTAATCACAGAAAAATTAGGAAGACAAACGGATTACTCTATGGAAGTCCTTGCCACAGGATGCTATGGACATCTAAAAAGGATCCTATAAATTCACGGAAGATAGTTCTGTTGTGGATCGTTAAATGTGACAATTCAGATGCAGCCGCTTGTGCAGGAAGCCCCTAGTCTTTTGTGTGCTGAAAGGTGGGAGTATGTATTTGGAGAAGAATCACTCTGACCGTTATAGTGGGGATACGGGGTTGGATGGACCCCCAGTCCATCTGGTTTAATCTGAGATGCCAGTCCTTCTGTTCTTAGCCTAATCCATCTGGCTTTTTGATTAAAACAATAAACACCTCCACAGTTCGTTTTCACATCAATTTGACCCGGTAAAGGCAGGTGTAAAATAGAGCAGGGCCAGGTGACCAATAAGGGATTTAGTAAGTCATCACTCACTTTTTCCCAGTGAGTGCTATACATCTAGTTCACAGCACCGGGCAACCCAAACGCATTCATGATGTCTGTCCACTCTGTGGTCGCTCAAAAACCCCCATGAATCCCACAGGGCAAAACATTCTTGCTGTCAAGACACTGCTAACTAGACAGCCCAGTGCAATTTTGCCTGTCAAGGCTGAATAGAAATCGAACCTTTGCACAGCCAGGCACCACATTTTCAGCGACAGCTATCAAAGGACAAACCCTTCCTCCTGGGCAGCCGAGTACTATTTTGGTGGTACAAGACAGAAAGCAAGAAGAAGGGAACCGTCCCCATTTGAAACATCCTGAAGCAACAAGGCAGATAGATCTAATCCCTACTTACTTACCACAGCACTTATAAACACTTACTTAACTCCTGTTGTAGCCCGCAGGATTTAAGCACATGCTTACAATTAAACATGTGTTTAAAATATTTCAGTGAATTTAGTCTATGGTACAATTATAGATAAAGAAGCCAAGAGAGCCGTAAAGGGAACAGGGGTAGTGAGAAAACTAAAAGTCAGTCCACGCTCGCTAAAGCTACATTTTTCAGAAATTAGCAGATTTCAATTTAGCTGGAAACCTATGCAAGAGAGGAAGTTGTTTTAGGGAGATTAATGTCCTACTTGTGCCTTTTACCGCCTCACACAAATTAAAGTACAGGTTCAGGAGAGAACTGCATAGAGCTGCATGACAAGAGACCACTTGTAATTACAACAAACATAAAACAAATGAGAATTTTGTACAACACAAGTCAAAAGAAATCTTTTAATTAAACTTAGAGACAAGACATCTCGTTCATTTCAGTGACCTGAGCACACACTTCGTTATATCCTTGATTAAAAGCGTATGTTGAAGTACTGCATAGGCTTCAGGTTTATAGGGAAATCCAGGATGGGGAAGAATCTGGAATCTTTTTTTCCCCCCCCCGTATAGATTCGTATCTTTATGTCCTTGGCCGTGAATATTTCTGCACAATTCAATTTAACTCTGCAAAGAGTTTTTTCAGCCAGAAAATGAAGGAATACCTTAAAGCTTGAGCTCTCCTATTTAACTAAAAAATGCATTTTTAAAAGATACAATTTTAAAACAGCTGATGGAAGTTTATTTTCATGAATCAAGGATGTTTGGGGGTTTTTTTCTCTGTTAAGCTTAAAGTTTATCGCCTCAACTCTTACATAAGAGGTGCTCCATTGGGGAGCTGCCAGCAGACCACCTCTTGCAATAAACTTTGTGCCGAAAGACCTGTATGATCTTACAGAGCCCTTGTGCCTTCAGGAAAATGCATCTGTGCAGGACTCGGGGCAGACTGGGGGGGAGGATAGGCGAACGCCTGGAAGATGGATTAGGTACATTCAGATTCCATGATGGTTTAGATGTCCTCTCTAACCTGATGCAGCAGGTGATTAGTATGCCCAACACACCTACACTTGTAAAACTGTCTTCATTACAAACCACCCTTTTTTCTTTTTTCTCTTTTGTTCTTACACTCTCGGGTTTTATAAAATTTGCAGCTTGGAAGATAATTTTCCCCAGCTGGTTTGTTGCCAAAAATAAGTTTTCATTATTTCTTTTTGAGTCAGAGCATAAAAAGCTTCATCTGTAATTTGTACTTGGGGGCAGAATAGAGTTAGGTACTCGATTTCAATGTTTTCAAAATCATTCTTATAGTTTGGATTTTTCAGGAGCCTTTAACACCACAAATGCCTAAGGTATTAATAAAGACCACTCACTATTAAGCACAGGGTTCAGCACGTGTGCAGCAGAAATACATAACTAAAAATGAAAGCAAAATACAGACATGCGGGATTTTTCATGCAAATGCATTAATGTTTCAGGCACAGCCATTTAGAAGAGCAGCCATGTGAGGGTGAAATTTAAGACTACCTAAGGGTCAGCTCTGCATATGTATCACTTAAATCTCATTAAGACTTCTTTTTTTTTTGCCTAATTATTGCATAGCTTTCTATGCTTGCATGCTCCGAATTTCATCCTATGTATGAAATTATTAGTTCAAGGTGTTTATGAGCTTTACCCACCAAGCAAAGTACTCAGCTCTGTTGTTCCTTTTATTTTCTGTTCTCTTTTATTTTCTTCCACTTACCCCTCCCCTTCCCATCCTTATTTCATTTTGTCTTTGAACTTTAAAAAAGAAAAATACTAAATGTAAAATGCTGTGTCAGAACACCATTAAGGTGGCATGGTTAAAAAATCTTAGAAATACAAAAGTTAATGTTCACTAGGCACATTAATTCCGACACAGTGCACATACTTTATATTTTTTTATTCCCATTTTTCCTTGCTACATGAATATTTTAGTAGATTAGTTCTAGTACACTAAGATATAGAGCGCAATCAAATACATGTTGTTTTTGGAGAAGGAATACTGCATGACTTAAATGTGCAACCTTAAAAAAAAGTCACTGCCATCGCTTGAGCTTTACACTGTCTATGAAGCAGCAATACTTTGGGGCAGGGGCAGGTCTTACTTTGCAGATATTGAGGTCCAGCCCCACCAGGACTTCATAAACCTTGCTAAAATGTTTCTTTGTCCTTGCGCCCTAACGTGTCAGAAAACAGAATGGCCATTGCCTTAAAAAGGACCCTCTAAATTTCTCCTGTGTGCCCCTTCTCATGCTCTGGCCTTTGAAATTAGAAGCAAGCTAACAGCCTGCTTCTGCTCTGCAGACGTTGCCGGTCCTTGTAAGTTCATATATAGTCCCACTCACCTGAGCACTCGCGTATGAATCCCGTCGTCAGGGCGGGGAGGGTGGAGTCCTTTGAAAATCCTTAGAAAATGTTTCTGATACACTTCTTGCAAGAACAACGTTAACTTTATTCCTTAATTGTTAATCAAGCTGTCCATTTAACATGCACTCACCCTTTGAATCTCCTGTTAAAAAAAGGATTTTTCTTCCCTTTTGCTGTTCTTACAGTTTAATTCTAATTCCTGAGAAGTAAACCTTGCTCACCAGAGATCTTCCACTCCAAATTTCTTCAACTGGTTTTGTTCGGTTGCTTTTGTTTTAGCGTTCACTGCAGTGCAGGGTTTTGGTATTTTCTGTATTTCTTGCTCAGTCAGAAACGGACTGTTAGCCAGTGTTCTACACCAGCTGAGACCCTGAAGTGTGCGCTAATCAATCAGTAGAGGAAGGGAAGTTTTCCGAGTTGGATAATTATCATACTGTAT